AAAAAATGGGTTACAAATATGGTTTCTTCATATTATAATTTAAAAATCTCTACTCTTAACATAAAAAAATTGCTGATAGCATTTTAGTGTCCCCTGTACCTTGGAGAATATCCTTTGGACTTAGTTTCTTGTGCTTTCTAGTATTTTTATAGTGCTGCTATCACTGATACCTTACTGAACTACTTCCTTCTCATTTTCACTGAACAGATTCAGGCCGTATATTTTTTGCATCAACCAAGGAGGTAACATTTTCACATAAGGACTGTTATATATAACAAAAAGAATGTTCTCTTGGCATTTAATCAACACATGCCTCTGAAGTAATTGGCTTAAAATGAATTAACATTCATGCAGGGAACATCAGAAAATCCAGATAGTTGGGGCTCTACTTCATCCCGGTCAGAGAGTAGTGAATCTGAGTTATTTGCAAAATCACACTTACTGGCCCAGCAGAATTTTTCTCGCCACCAGTCTTTTATCTCTAAACCCATTCATCCTTTGTCCTTTCCTGACCTTACTTATACAAGGGAAGCCTTTGACCCTGCAGTTACAGGTTTCTCTGAGGCTGGTGCTTCCACTTCACTCGGAGATTCTCAGCAATGTAGTAGTGCCAGCAGCAGTCTTGATTTTGCAGATGCTACTGTGTCTTTTGAATCTGAAACACCAGCTCGCCCTCATAATGATGGATTCAGATGCAGTTTGTGTGAGAGGCTTCTGTCACAGAGATCACCTTGGAGTTCCCGACGAATTGTGAGAAGCAGAGACATGCCTACAACTGGGGTTCTTCCTTGTCGCCATGTCTTCCATGCAGAATGTTTGGAGCAGGCGACTCCAAATTTGCGGAAAAATGACCCCCCTTGCCCTCTCTGTAGCCGAGTGACAGAAAGTTCACCTGATCAACGGGGTCCTCTGAATTTGAAGAATGGTTTTCCTAGGATTAGGCCGTTTTATGAGGACGGACACTCAAGACCTTGGGGCTGTGCGCAGGTGGGTGATTGTGTTGAAGGGGCCTTGCATGCACCACCACGCAACACGATGTTCTTACTAAATCGGAATCGCATAAAAAAGAATCTTTCTTTGAAGGGTAATTCAAGCAAGGAATTTCCCGGCAAGGTGAAGAAAAGCGAATCATATTCTTCACATTTGTTCGGTGGAAGCTCAGCTGATCAGGAAGCAGTTGGTTACTCAAATGCAAAAGCAGGCCCAAGCATGAGCAAGTGATCAGAAAAGGTCTCCGAAATTTGAAACTTGGAAGTTCACAAGCTAACAATGGTGCTACTTTAGCTCAAAAGTGAAATTATAGTAGAGGTGGTTCATAACCCTGTGATGGTTTTGTATGTACCATATTGATCTGGTGAATGTGTCTTGGAAAGTTGAAAGAGTGTAATCGTCTACTGCTTTTGCTTTCAGAATGAAATTTAGTCAAGATTTCAAACCTGTTCTAATTTTGGCAAATTTGAATTGAGCGATTATTGCATCATGCGTGGTCATCTTCACACACACAATCTATATTCTACATGACATGTAAGGTTGCAAAAGCGCTCTAGAGTTAATGACCACCGATTCCCCGGTTCCAGATGTTAAATGCGAAGAAAGTAACGCATATGTAAATTACCCTTGTGAGAGAACAACTTATTTCGTTGTGTTTATACGTTTATTCGTCATAATTTGTTGTTTACAGATATGACCAAACTAGGTATCTCTGGCTCCCTTCCGGTCTGCCCTCATATAATACAAGTGATAAATTATACTCCCCTTATTTTAACATAAAACCTAATCATTAAGTTAATTTTGATCATAAATATAAGATTTATTTATCATATTTATTAATTTTTTTTAAATGACCTCTATAGATATTCTCTCGACCATAATCAAATAAATGGGGGGAAAGATATTAAGAAAGATTATTGTAGTGTTTTAGGAGAAGCATATCATATTTTTTATAATTAACTAACTTACCTAACTTCCTTAATCTAATCAAATTAGTTAAATATGTCTTATATTAAGGACAGGAAGAGTATTGATTTATCAATATCTCGGGAAAGCAGGAGTGTGATGCCAATGATTTTGTAGTCTAGAAATATGAATACTCTACTACAAATAGAGGCCGCATGTTTGATCTCGTTGCATGTGTTTATAACTTAAAACTGTTAGCATATTTCCCTTTGGATTTTTTTTTTTTAAAAAAAGAAAAGAATGTGAAAGTGTGAATGTGAATGTGTGACTCGTTAGTTTTCAAGGGTATGATATAAGGCATGGTCCATAGCCAATGAGGCCTAACCAACGTTGGGTTTCCCTTCGTAGGCCTCCATTTGGGAACAAGCCTGGACCGACAAAATAGCAAGTATCGTTTCCTAGGTGTTTGGTAGGAGGAACTAGGAAGGGGAAAACGTTTTCTCTTTCAATTTCTAACACAAAATATTCAACAGGAAACATCTCTTTTCCAATACTATTTTTTATTCACGATCACAGGGAAAAATGTTCATTCTACAGCATCCGCCATAATAATATATAAACTAAAGTAGTTGTAGTTTAAAAGATGGGTACTTTGGCTACTTAATAGTAATTTCCACTACCGTACTGTTAGATCACAGCAAAACCTACCAAAAAATCTGAATGGTATAGGTGGAGTCCAAGTGGATCCTGAGGCAGAAGGAACCGACCTAAGTCCATTTCTGGACCAGGCGTTGTACCTCAATTTTACGCTCACCATATTAATACAGGACCCCATCTATCACCCAACACCCTATACTTGAAAGGGCCCTTTCTCCTCCCTTCCCATGTGCTCTGTTAGCCTGTTTCCATTGCTCCGGACACCGTATTCAACAGTAGGCCCTTGAACATTATACACAGGTTTGGTTTCTGAATTGTCTTGTGTGCTAATTCAATTTAATTTCTTCTTTCTCCGCTATATATCACACTTAGCTAGGGTTCTCTTTTACCTATATTAGCTGTTAGCCACCCATGTTCTTTCCAATGCCCATTTACCCCAATGATGATCATATATTGTGACAGACACATAATCCCCTCTGAAATAAAGGTTTTCGGCTAGCAGGGTAAGATCTTTCAATTGTGCTAGTGACCGCTTGTCTCTTTGTTGCTGGCTTATTGCCATTCAATTTTAAGAAAGCAACTTGTTTTACATATATGAAGCATATGAAACATTAAATGAAAAGGACCGACATGGATTGAGCAAAGGATGGGTGTACTAATTCTGTTTTACGCATTTCTCTCCTCGACTCCATATTACATCTTAATTCAAAATATTAAGTTTGTGAGTTTATGGGTCTTTGCATTTAAATACCTCTTCTTCAATCCAATTCTCTGTAATGCAGGATTCCTCTACTCCCTTATACCTCATCAAATCCACTCATGTACACCTGACATTTCAAGTTTCCAACATGCCAGTATGATACGCAGGACATGTTTTAGGTGTATTTAGTTCTTTTTATTAGTTACCCTATGGGTTTGAAAATTTTGATGGTGTAATAGAAAAAATGGTAAAAATAAATATGATGATGGAATTTAGTGTAGTTAGTAAAAATAATAACTGAAAATCTGTTCACGCTTAGTACATGTTTATCTTTTTATATCATCAGAACGTGGGTGATGTAAGTATCCATCATTACGTTCACGCTTTCGCTACAATTTGCAGTGCATGCAAGTTGTTTGTTTAATTGACTGGATATTCCCAATTCCAATGATCTGCCACAGGTAGTCTTAAATTCCATGGTACTGTTAGTGTGCTGCAAAAGCAAAATAAATGAAAGTAAGAAACGGAGGAACCTTCTCCTTCTCCTTCTCCTTCTCCTTCTTCTTCATTGAGCTGTCACATTGAAATCTGCATATGAAATTCATGATCTCATATGTTTAATTTCTGGTGTAATGCACAATATTGAAAGATCACTAGTCCGGAGTCTACTCGTGCACTATACATAGAGCATTAAATGGAGGGCATGTGAGCCTCCATGTGACGGTGGGAAAGTCCCTGAATTGCTTTCTCACTTGTAAATGGAGGGACATCTGAATCAAAAGCCACCAAGGCATGAACATGTTTTCTTCTTCTACACGTGGTATTGTTCAAAAAGATATGCCTATTGCTAAGCTTTTTCTAAAATTTCTTTAGCTATTACATAGCAACCTAACTTATTGCTTAGTGCTCACTCCTCAGCTTTCCCACTCATTCTTTTGCTCATCATCATCACATGCCTTCATTTAATACTTCAAGCTAAGTCTGTCCTGTCGAATCACACACTCTTCTAAACTAATCAATATAGTATCAAGTTAATTAGTCATAAATATCTTGTTAATTTGAAGTTTGAGTCGAATTGTCGATCATAATCTCATCTCCCTTTTTGGTTTTTGTTATGATTAGTGAGAAGATAATGTGGTTGGTGATTGATTGATCCTTATGCGTTGTGTGGTTCAAAGCTGTACTCCCTATAGTAACAGTGAAAAGGATGTTTGCATCTTTTGCTGTGGATGAGCACTAGCTCTTTTGTGTATATATGCGAACTTGTTAGTGGTGGGAATAGTTATAAGTCAGATATATTTGGATTTGCTGAGCAAAGAAACACAAACAATTCACTTTATACATACAAACATACATATATAAATATACACGATCAGATAACCAGACGAAAGTTTTTCTTTTTTGAGCTTTTTTTATCATGTCTTTTATACATATATTCTCATATATGTCACATCTTGTGATGTTGTAATAGTTAACAGAGGTGCATGAAATTGATTTAAAGTACTTCTTCTCCGGTTCTAAATATAAAACCAGGGTTTTATATTTAAAACCGGAAGAGTAATATTTTATTCTTAATTACAGTTCAAGTCATTTCACTTACTTTTCCTTCCCTGTTTTTTCCCACCACTTCTTTTAGAACACTCAAATATTATCATCCAAAGCGTTATCATGTGCCAAAGAACTAATTGCTTCGGATTTGAAGTTAGTGTATATTTTTATTAAAATTCCAGAGTTAGATCCAAACTAAAAGATTGCTGTGAACTACTTGTGGGGTAAGGAAAAAATAAATAAACAAAGAGAATTAAATGGAAAGAAGTTTTTTGTATAAGCAAATTCATTTTGTTTTTTGGTGTCACTGTGTCTTTCATTTTGAGAGGAATTTTAAATTCAGATTATTTCTATTATTAAATTTAAGTTACTCTTATAATTATATATATACTCCTTTTGTTTTATTTATAGGATAGTAAAAGAAATTTTTCATATAAATATATAATTTTACCTTTCATTTATTATTGTGTTGAATTTCTTTTCATAGAGTATAATATATATTAAATAAAAAATAAAAATTATTAAATTGTAAATTATAGTAAATAAAGTTTAAAATTTTTTTTATGTAAAAGATGTTAAAAGTAATTAATAAAAAACACGGGAGGAGGGCACTAAAGACAAACGGTCAAAAATTGAGTGAAATAGACAACAACATGTGATACGTAACCATCAGCATTGTCACGTGTCTGCGTAAAAGGGCGAAAGAAAGAGTTTTGTACGTTTTTGACGTTTCTCTTTGAAAATGATTGAAATTTCAGTTTGCTGACCTTGAAAGTTACCCTGCATTTGCGCATAATCACTTTTCAGTTTTCACATAAATTCTTTCATTTTGGAATAATCATATTAAGAAGTTATTAAATAGTCTGGATTACATAATCTCTTAGTAATTGATTGACCTTTGTATAATAAATTAGCGATTGCATATTCAATACCAAGATAAGACATAGCTTTGAAAATTCAATATTTATTCTTTAATTATATATCGTCATTTGTTTGTTAAATACCCTGGCCAAAAAATCTGTTTGTTAAATGAAAAAATAAAATTATATATTACAAAAGGAATAATACTTACATCAAGTTTCTCATATCTATTATGTTAAATTCTCTAATCACACATGATTATATGTCCTATTTTTAAAATATTAACATTTAATAACATTTAATTATACTGTTGTATTTTATAGGAAAAATCTCTAAAAAAATCTGAATACATAAAATTTCAATTTTGACAGATGACACTTGAAAATGACAATAAAAAAAGTGACGCCTGAATTGATATTTTAGAAATATTGTAAAATTACCTATATGTGCTCTTTTGTGACATGAATGACATTAATAAAATTAGAGATGATAAGTGTTGAATTAAGAATGACAAGTTTCATAAATTTTTTAGTTCTCCATTATTTTAGTTAGTTGGTTA